ACTGGTGGCCCAACTGCTATCAAGATTTAAGATAACACATCAAAACATGCAAAGAATGTCAATTATTCTCCCACCCAATTACGAACGAACCTTTACAAAGGGTCCCTATCCATTACATGTTTGAACAATTTGCCTTAGATTTTGCTGGTCCCTTACCAAAAACTTCGAGTGGTAATATGTATATCTTAGTTGCTGTTGAAGCCTTTTCCAGATGGCCCGTGGCACTCGCTACTACCAACACTGAGGCCAAAACCGTGTCTAGCTTCTTATACAAACACATATCTTATGTTCAGTCCTCCCACTCATATCCTTACGGATAATGGTGCTTCGTTTGATAACGAAATCGTAGATAATTTCATCAATCTGGTTAATACTCATCACAAGTTCACTGCCCTATATCGCCCCTCTACCAATGGTCAAAACGAACAAATGAACGGTAACCTGATGCGTGCTTTGAAGAAATTGTGCATTGATAATCCCAATGACTGGGATGATCACTTGGATGCCGTATTATATGCTTACCGAACTAAGGCTCATTCCGTACTCAAGATATCACCCTTTGAGTTTATGTTTGGACTGTCACCACTCTCCGCTCGCCAAGATCCATTACAGATGATGGGACGCGCCATGGGAATGGAAAGGTTGACTGAGATATCTGATCGAAACAACCAAATTCAAGACTACAATGCCATGAAAGACGAATATGACTTGCAACCCAGGTTTCGAAGGAAGTTCTTCCCTCCCGGAACTAAGGTCATCCGTGTGAGGCACAACAAGTTTTCGAAAATGGACACCAATTTCAAACCCGAAGTTTTTACAGTAACAGCATCGTTCAATAATGGTACATGCCAATTTGCGGACGGTGTAGGTCGATTGCTCAAAAGACGTGTCTGTGATATAATCACTAATAAAATGGTCAAATCAATAAATCGATTAGAACCAAAACGGCCAAAAGAAGTCTGCTTTATTAAAGGTTATATTTTGTATTGTATTTATACTGTTTGTATGATAATTGATTATCCTTGATTTGGGACTGAGTGTGTATACACTAGCTAATCGGTTGAGTGGATTAAGGTACACAAGAACTGGGTACATGATCAGGGCACAGACCTCGTCTACCATTGGTATTGATGCAGATGTCAATTTGTGATTATGTGATGGTCTGATCTTTAACATGTTTAAACTAAGATAGAAGACATCCATCGAAGCTGCGGATAAAACTGTGATTGAAAGATATATTTATACATGATATTAATACTTGCTCTTTTAAGGCATAACTAGTGTAAGAAGGGATGAATAATGCTGTGTATACAACATTGCCCCCCACCAGATGAGACCATCGCATAAACTTGAGTAAGTTTGCATTAGCGTTTGCATAGTATATTCGTTTCAAGTTTTGTTGAGTATTCAAGTACTTAATCGCTTATACATAAACTGTAACTTTAGTTTGTTATGGATAATAAGATCGTTCATGTAAGTCAATAAAAAAACCTTTTGTAAAAACCCAGTGGGAGAAAAATAAATGTATAGGCAAAAAAAGACTGTTATGATCGTTGAGATCTTGTAACTAGACCACGACGTTGGGCCTTAGATTTGTTGTAATGGTGTCTATTACGAACAGATATATTACGCTTGTTGACTGTATCTGGTAAGCGAGTATTTTCTTTGACTGCTTGGGTTGCGTTTCTTCTAGCCCAGTAATCATGAATGGGTTTAAGGGAGTCAAATGCTTCGACTCTTTCCCATGTATTATAGCGTTCTTGGTCATCATAACCACGCCAATGCACATAGTATTCAACATTGTCACCACTACCACGATGGTTAACAATTGCTTGTACTTCGTAATGCCTCTGATCTAATTCATTTTGGGATCGTGTGTCACCCGCTTGGATCAATTTGATCTGATGTGTAGGTACGTCTCTAGATAATAGAGCACCTGTTAAATCTTCGAGGATGTATGCACCACTACGAGACCAGCCTTTCACAATAAAGGGTCCAATATATCTAGGGTGCATCTTTGAAGTACGATTGACATTAACAATCATTACTTTAGAATGAATTGGATACTTGTCATCAAGTATGTTGTGCGATTTAAGATATTTCTTATGATCTAAAGCTTGTTGATCCTTGATGTGTTTATGCAGTGAAGGGACTACAGTTTCTTTCACATACTTTAATTGTTCATTAATGCGCTTGTGATCATTTCTTTCAAATGTCAAAGATGGTTTATCTTTGGTATAGTCAGCCAAATGATTGGGTTGTCTATAGAACATGGCAGTAAATGCGCGAGATTTATGCAAATGTTTGTATTGTACATTGACTCCATATTGCACGAAATCCACATAGAGATCCCATGACTCAGGGTCATTTGCATCTGCAGCAATGGCTTTGATAATGGACTGTTTGCAAACACCCATATATCTTTCACAGACGGAGTTTCCTACAGGATTGTAAGGTAATGACAAGCGTCGGTCAATGCCAGTCATCTCTACAAGTTGCGAAATAATCTCGTTCGTGAATTCACTACCCCGGTCATGGTTTATAATGCGACTAAAGCCAAAGAGCGTCCAAATGGACAACAATTCGCGTGCAATAGTATACGCACTTTTGTCAGGGATTGCTCGTAGAATTACGAAGCGTGAAAACATGTCTACGACTAAGAGAAGGAAGTTGTTTCCTCGAGAAGATGTTACATTGAATGTACCCAGATCAATGCAAATATGATCGAATACACCATCTGGTAATACATGCCTAGGTGGATGGTAACCCACACGATGGATAGTGTGTGCTTGACATGCATTGCAATTCTTTACAACTTTTTCAATGTCCGAACGCAAGTTGGTCCAGTGCAATTTATCTGCATGGATAGCCTTTTCGATGGAATTAATTCCTGTGTGTCCCAACAGTAGATGTGTGCTTTCGATGATAGACATTCTGTCTGTTTTGGGAGGCGTCATGTATTCAGTGTATTGTAATGCACGCGAAATCAGAGCTGATTGTGGTACGGAATCATCATCTTTTACTGGCTTAGCAGGTTTAGTTGGAAATGCAGAATAATTATAATTCATTTCTTGGTGACTTGTTTTGGGAGCATGTAAGGATGCGCGTTTAGAAACGGAGTGCAACTTTTTCAGTTTGTTCTTTTTCTTTTCTGTTCTAGAGAAAGTACGATGCTTTGTTTTGTCAACATGGTTATGTTGGTTATTTGAGCTCGTGTACGAGTGATCACCCTCCTCCTCGGTGAGCAAATCAGACTCATACAAGCGACTGAGTGCGTCAGGCAAACAGTTGGTGATGCCAGGTATGTGAACGATATCAAAATCATAACTAAAAATTGCATCGTAGTAGTTCAACATCATGGCATTAGGTACAGCTTGACTTTTCAAAAATACAAGCGAACGATGATCAACATGAGCAGTGAATTTAATACCATACAACAGTTTATGAAAACGTGTACATACAAATAAAAATCCAAGCAATTCACGTCTAGTAGTACTATATCGTTGTTCAGTGGGATTGAGCTTACGGCTAGCCATGCCAACATAATACACCTTGTTTTCTTTGATGTAGTAGACTACACCACCAATACCAGTCTTAGAAGCGTCAGTGGCAACGTGAAGACGATATCTAGGATCATAAGGCGAGAGGACGACTGCAGAAGCAAGAGCAGCTTTCAACTGGCGAAAAGCAACAGTGTGTTTCTCTGTCCACAAACCAGTTAATGACTTTTCACAACGAAGATCATCAAGAGGAGCAGCCAGAGTAGCATAATTGGCAATAGAACCACGAAAATAGTTCAAGAAGCCCAAGTACGAAGCAAGCTTTTTTCCAGTAGCAGGGATTTCATCCCAAGTGGAAGTAGCAGATATCTTGCGATAATCTGGTAAAAGCTGACCATTACGAATAGTCCAACCAAGAAGATTGACTGAGTTCATGGCAATAACGAGTTTTGATGCGTTTATCTGGAGATTAGCATCAGTGAGGCGTTGGATAACTAATCCAAGGCAAGTGAAATGATGTTCAAGAGTGTCTGAAGTAGCCACTGTAATATCATCAACATAAATGGTAACGAAAGGCAAGTCATGGAAATAGTTCTGCAACACATTCTGCACAAAACCACTCATAAATGTAATGCCAAAACACATCTTACGAAAATGATAACGTAAATTGGTAAAAGGGCACATAAAGCTAAGCTTATGTTGATGGTTAGGATTAACCAGAAAAGAAGTGAAGCAAGAGCGAATGTCAATCGTAGAGATAATAGTAGCATTACCCATACTTTGATGAATATCCGAAATCAACGGAAGTTGAAACACATCGTTACTGATAAGGATATTGTTCAATTGACGAACATCAGCCACAACTCGAGGCTTTTTCATAGAATAGACACCATCAGCGTCCTTCTTTGCAACACATAAAATTGGTACGTTAAAATCCGTGTGACCAAAAGAGCGTTCGATAACTCCTTCTTCAAGCCAAACTCGGAATTGTTCAAGTACTGCATCTTTGTACGCATAAGGTACTGGATAAGGTTTCTTAAATGCACTCATTCCAGGTTTTGTTTCAAGGTCTACAATTGCGTTGGGCAAACTGCAGTAAGTAGCCTTCAAATCAATGCTAGCATTGGCATCAAGTAAAGGTTGTAAAGTCTTCATCAAGGCTTCACGTTCAGATGGTGTACCAACTGGACTATCATTGGCTTCATTTTTCACCTGTTCAGGATCGATAGGCGAAGGTAATGTAGGACCAGTGGTGTCAAACCATGAAGTAACTAAACCATGCACAGATAAACCTAAGCGAGGCATTAAGTCTATTCCAATAACGACTGGTACATTATCTTTGATAGAAGATGTATTAAAAATCTCGAAAGTATGAGTTACAAATCGTTTATTGTACAAAAGTTCTAAATTTCTTTTTCCTAGACTGGGAGTACTACAACTAGCATCACCAAGAAGAACAATACCACTAGAAGGCAAAGAAGGCTTACCAAGCAAGGCAAAGAGTTCGGGATGAATGACACTAAGTGTTGCTCCACTGTCAACCATGGCATAAACTGCATGATGTTCTATAACAATAGGAATAAGTAGAGCGTTAGAACGTTGCTCTGTTAATTTAGAAAATTTTGTGTACTTACAATCTTGGGCAGCAGTAGCCAAGCACTCGTCAAGTTCCATTTCTTCAGCAGAAGAAAGAGGAGCAACAGGAGCGGAAGTAAGAGAAGTGGTGGCCATAGGATCAGCGATCGCTGATGTAGCGGCGGAGGAAGAAGAAACAGGAAACCAGCTGAAGAGCCAGCGACAAACTCGGAGCGAGGGTACACAGCCAAAGAGGAAGTGTCAAGTAATGAATCATCTGTTGAAGATAAATTCGAAGAAGCAGACTCGATAGCTTTCATCATTGCAAACCTAGGGTTCGAAGATGGTACAGCGGAGTTGCACACATGGTTCTTGGACCAGTTGGGGGCCCCGCAGCGGAAACAAGTCTTTTCTTTTTCACCTTTTGGTTTGGAAAAACCAGTAGCAGCGACAGAAGAAGAACTAGGCTTGCTTGCCAAGGAGGCTGAGATTGACGACAAAGCTTTACATTCACTCGTCTGATGAGTGGTGACCTTATGTAATTCACAGTACTTGCCACTGCTGGTAGGTAAGACTTTCTTTGTGATCTTTCCTGACTTAACAGCGTGTTTAGAAGACATGACAGAAACAGAAGGAGAGGAGCCAGAAGAGCCAGAGGAAGGTTTGTTACCCATGAAGACATCTCATGCAAGTCCTTGGAAATGTCGAGAGCCATTTGCATCAAGTGATCAATGCTCAAGCGTTTTTCAGCAGGCAAAGTAGCACGGGCAAGGGAAACACGCTCACGGAGAGCTCCAGGCATGGCCTTGAAGAATTTGTCAATGAGTACAGCAACAGGCAAACTCTGGTCAGCAGAGCGACGACGTAAATCGCGGAATCTATCGACAAAAGCAGCAAAAGATTCCCGTGATTCATAGAGATGTTGACGAGTTTGAGTGCGCAGTCAGCACGATCTTGTTCAGTCGAACGACCAAAGCGAAGAGTGATGGCCTCCTTAAAGTCGCACCAAGTTGGACTTTGTATAGGATGAACCGCAACAAACTGTTCGTACCATTTCCTAACAATGTTTGGTAATTGTTGTGGGATTAGGCGACGATAATGATCATCAAGATTGAGACCATTGGCAAAGAGAACATCCTCAAAGCGGACGAGGCAAGCCGTAACATCAACAAAGATGGGTGCTTGGTGGTCATGAACCACACCTGTCCATTGAAAAATGGGTAAATTAGGTGGGCAGACAGGAACAGAAGAAGGAGCAGAGGGCCAAGAAGACAGAGTAGTAATAGCAGGGCCTTGAACCTTTACCAAAGCTTGCTTGATCAGGTCAAGATCTCTAGTACGAGCAACAAGATCTGAACGCAAAACAGTGATATCACAACCCTCAGGAGGATTAGCAACCTTAGTTCCCAAGATGACAAGTTCAATTGTCAGATCCTTGACTGCTTGCTGGAGAGTTTCCAAGTAAGTGGCTGGAAGAGCCGTACGAGAAAAACCAGAAGAAGAGACAGGGTAGTCTTGACAAGTATCCATGGGAGAATCAGAAGTAGGAGAAGACATAGTAAGGTAGGTAGTATAAAGTAGAGATAAATATACGTTCTTAATCGAAAAAAATGTGATATAATCACTAATAAAATGGTCAAATCAATAAATCGATTAGAACCAAAACGGCCAAAAGAAGTCTGCTTTATTAAAGGTTATATTTTGTATTGTATTTATACTGTTTGTATGATAATTGATTATCCTTGATTTGGGACTGAGTGTGTATACACTAGCTAATCGGTTGAGTGGATTAAGGTACACAAGAACTGGGTACATGATCAGGGCACAGACCTCGTCTACCATTGGTATTGATGCAGATGTCAATTTGTGATTATGTGATGGTCTGATCTTTAACATGTTTAAACTAAGATAGAAGACATCCATCGAAGCTGCGGATAAAACTGTGATTGAAAGATATATTTATACACGATATTAATACTTGCTCTTTTAAGGCATAACTAGTGTAAGAAGGGATGAATAATGCTGTGTATACAACAGTGTCAATATTAGCTCTTTGAGACAAATCCACCAACGTGGTTAATTTGTCTGAGGGGAGCATGATTTGTGATGACCTGAATATTGAACTTTTGCAATCTGCACCTTTATTTTGAGACTCATTATTTTGTCATTATATAAATTTACGTGTAACCAAGAGTGTAATTCTTAATTACAACTCTTTCATTCACTTCATTTCTCCCCATTTTTCTCTAAAACTTCTAAAAAACACACGTACTATCTCAAGACTACTTTTATAATTATCACTTTTATTACCAGCATCACTTGGTTAGTTTTAATTATAATTTTCAATCATTAGTTACAAACTTATTAACAAACAAATAAAGTTGGTATTATTCTTTTAGTTAAAACAACAGTCCACAAATTAAAATGATAATCCTCTAAGATATATCTTTTCCAGGTTGTCTTTTATACTACCTGATTTATTGACTAATTGTGATTATTGATTATTGATTACTTAACACTTTGACAGCTTGTGCCTGGGAGTTGACTATGTAAATTCTGCTTTAATCCTCCTGGTTATCTAAAAGGTACAATTATGGTTTCCTTATTTGTAAATATCCATATTATCCCAGTTACCGTTATTTACTGTCATTATACAATGCTTACTTTATGTTTATAATGTATAGTGCTATAAGTGATTATTCATTTATATGATGAAAGACTATTTATTATATTTTGTATTCAAAAGTGCTCAGATCACCACACTGAGACCCATTGTAAAACCTGATCGGAGTGCTGTTCGTCTGATATTAGGCTATCAGGTCAAATTCAACTGGCAACCGATATTGGGCAAAATCAGATTAATTTTTCAAGTCAGTCGCTTGATAGCGGTTGAACTGACCTGATTGCTAGGTAATCGGCGTATGAAGGCAATATGGAGATAAAATCATTAACAAGACAGAAACGTATAAGTAGACGCATGTTTGATAGTTGATATTAAAGCAACCCTTTAAATCGACTCTTCTACTTCTGAGTTTAACTTTAACTCAATATAACAGAAACTGTGTAAATTGTGTGGTCTATAGCAGAAAATATAGGAATAGGTGTGTAATGAGCACCAGGTTTGGAATTGTCCAACTTTTAAGTAAAAAGTATGAAAGTTCTTAAGATACATATTAATAATGTTCCAATATTAGATAAAGGATAATGTTTAATATTCAACTTATAATGATAATGTTCAGTATAAGATTTGTAAAATTATAAAGATAATGTTCCCAATTTATAGTCAAAGAGGATAATGTTCTTTATAACACTTTAATTAATAATGTTCTCACAATAAGAATTACTATTGTAAGATAATGTTCAATTAAAGATTTATGATTCGATTACTTGATAATGCTCCTTATAATATAAAGATAATGTCCAAAGAGGACTTATAACTGCGCTTGATAATGCTCCTTATAATATAAAGATAATGTTCAAGAGTAGACCTTATTTGATAATGTTCTTTGCAGATCAAAGATAATGTTCAAATATGGATTCGAAAATAAAGATAAAAGGAAAATAAGATGTTAACAAGTATGTTTCGGGAAGGAAGCCCAAAGATAAAATAAAATTATTAAGTCTGTTACCATCCACTGAGATAGTAAATGCTATGCTTCTATCTGTTACACAGCTGATAATGCTCACTGAATGACTGCTGTCTTTTGTAGTTAAAGTGGATGATCTTGATGTTGAATGACCTCCTTTATTTCAGAAAAATAAGGGAGTATTTATAACAAAATTGTGCGTTTGTACTATGTGAAATGATAAAGAATAGGACTGCGGTATTTTACAACAGATTTCAGCCAATTGAACTCAGCACAGAACACCAATATCAATTGAGTAGACTCGTTCACCACTAGGCTACACCTGATATTCATTGACTTGAGCAGGATCAGGTTTTTTACTTGAACGCTGGGTGATTGGCGGACTGCAGTCTTTTTATTATTATTATTATTATTATTGTTTTTACAAACTGCGCTTTAGCCTCGAGAACGATGGTTTCCTGTATAAACTGGCTCACCCGAGGGTTTAAACTGAGTTTTACAAGTTAGTTTTTATTCATGAGCAATACTTTTTGGTACTTACTTGAAAATTGGGGTCAAAGATAAACCCATTTCGAATAATTTCATGGCGATAGAAGCCTAGATCGAGAAGCGTATGAAGACCAGAACAAACGATAATGTATCCTACTTACTGCTGCATTGATATCCAAACCTAATAATGGGTTCAGCACTCTATTGTTTTTTTAACGTGTATGATACTACTTACCGATGAGGTATATAGCTAGCAAACAATCCCCACTGTTAAATAATAAAGTGTCAGAAAAAAAAACTCGTCCTGCTTTCAAGTTCTCTTTACCTTGTCTCCACATCCATATTGTTGTGCAACCTATACCGATTTGCAATTAACAAATGGCATATACATAGAGCAATACCTTCATAAATAATGCTTTCTCTTCTTCTGACCAATCATGTACCCATTGTTCTTCACCGGGTTCGTTATGTCGATAAAAGTACTGGTTTGGATTCTTTTTAAACATCTTTAGTGACTCACTCTACATGTTTTAATTAAAAAGTCTGTTCTGTTCAGTGATTGTATATACCTTTGCATTAGAAGGTGCTCCTTTTTTCCTCTTTTTTCCACTGCCAGTAGGATCTGAAAATGAATAGACACCACCTCCATTTTTTTCCCAAGCTTCTGCAGCAGAGGACTCAATACCATATTTTTTCATAATGACAGGGTTCACCCAGCCATTGAAATGACCATCCACATAAACTGCCTTCTTTTTAATCTCCTCCGAAAAGTATTCTTCAGCTGTCAGTAACTTTCTTTCATCCATTATGTCTTGGTAGCGAGCATCATCCTATATTACTGTTTAAGACGCCTTGAATAGATCATAGCTACCTTCACACTTTCATCAAGCACTTCTATCTTGTTTTCCTTGTCAACCTCAATTTCAAGTGCTTTTTCTCCTCGGATTCTTGATGATTTCCTGATGGGCAATGGCTCTCTTTTTGGCGTTGCTTATCGCAATATGAGTTCATATATCCGTCCTTTAATACTTACAATAACTTTTTTTTTGTCTTTTTACATTAGGGTGTCTGATTGAAAAATATCAGTATAGAATGATGTAGCATGATTATTTACTCTCTTGAGTTTTGAACAATAAGCGACTGATTTGCATTCCCTATCTCCAGAGAGGCTAATAGCTCTTTATTTAGTTTAATATTTCTCAAGCGTTCTTGTTCTAGAAGAGTATTAAAGTACATGTATAAACACAGGTCTGATTACCATAGGGCGTAATTTCAACTGTCATGATACACTCAACAAAACAAAAATCAAAAGAAACGCGAGACACAATTAAAGTCTCTGTGGCTTATATGCATTCATTCCTTATTTTATACACGCACTCTTTTTTTTAATTAATGAATTATACATACACATATACTCTCTCTTTTTAGCTATTCTCTCTATATCTAACATTCGTGGACTTGTCCATTATGATAATAGCTAATCAGGTCCACACTAAATTCGGCAAGTTGATGATAAAAGAGCTTCAAAAGGTGAGCTTGATTTGTAGAGAGTGTTTCTCCTTCCATGCACACAGTATAAGGCACAAGCAATGTGACAATACCATTCTTCAAAACAGTGGGCATACCGAGTGATCTTAAAAGAGGCTCCATATTGTGAGGCATGGGATCAACACCTCGCTTGACAGGTCCTTCAGGTAAAGTAATGGTTTGAGTGGCAATGGCTCCTGAACGAGCATAGTCAGGCTTGACAAATTCTTGAAAATAATTCTTGACTTCTTCAGGTTTCTTGTGAGTAAAAAGTAGACCAACCTCACTTGTCAATTGCTATTGCAGGTATCCATTAGCTATCATCATTTTTTCTTTAATAAGAATTACTTACTTTTGCAATCTCAGAAATGCCTTCTTTATATTCTTCTTCAGGTGTTGTACCTAGAGCTTTGGCCATCACACGATTCTTACCGTAAAAGAAGCGAGAATCGTTAAAATCATGACGGATCTCCTTGAGGTATGTGTTGCGCATGTCTTTGACAGAGAACAAATACAAGTATTCATAGTTATCAACACAACTTTGAACCTAAATAAAAATCAACATCTCTTAATCTATATAGATTACATACATCTTCAAACAACTTTTCTTTTCCTCCACGACCCTTCTTGTCAGTCTTGGTCAAGGATACTGTGATAGTCAGTATTCAAGTCATTCAAGCCTTGTTAGTGATAGCTTACCGACTGTACTACGCTTAGACTTGGGCATTTTTTGTTATATAAAGAGAAAAGAGAGTTTTTTTTTCTTCGAAAAAGCATTTCTAAAGTGACTGTAAAACACCTCATCTACCCACCCCTTACAGAGAGAGGCTTAGAGAAAGAAAATGTGACGCTTTTGTCTGACAAATTTCGTCTTGCTTTTTCTTTTGCTTTTACTATGACAATCAATGAGACATAGCACTTATTCTTCCCAATTGAAGTTTTTAAAATTGTCATGTCTTTATCAGGAAGCGAAAACTGTGTTAGAGCTAAAGCTGATGTTTGACTTCAAATGAAGTTTTTAAATCTTTTAGACAAACCCCATCAAGCGCAATAATGGTATCAAAAATAGCTTTCTCAAGACAAGACCTATTTAGGCGTCTTGCAGAAAAATCGGTTGCACTGCTGTGCCGACTATCCTTTATGCCACAAATGAGCCCAAAAAAGTAATAATTAGGTTTTCGATAGTTTGGGGGGTTTAAGATGCCTTTCTTTTCCAGTTTCAGTCAAAAAAAGAATTGAAAAATACGCGTACTGCTTTCTTAAGATGGTCTTTATGTTCAGGCATTATTTTTAGAGATCGGTTCATTTATCATATTTACTTGCACTTTACTCACCAGCATATCGACATTGGACAGTTCAACTTTTTCTGAGCCAATTAAGTTGCGGATTATCAAATTAAATAAAGGCAGAGTCTACCAAGTCAACACTTTGGTTTCTGCTTTTGCATTCTGTATGCTATTGAATTAGCAATTTACCTACTTGCCATGATACTAAACATGGCGTCAGTAGTATTAACAAAAATGTACAATTATTTTATTCTAATCAGGAATTTTCCTTTGACGTACAAAACTCCCTGTTTTCTCCTTTCGTATCTCGTTTTTTAAAGCAGTGTTCGCTTCTTACTTGGCTGTTTGGCGCTTTTGCCAATTGATTCTATTCAACTCTCTTCAAATGAAGTTTATTTCTAGCAGTTGCCATATTGATCAATGAAGATTTACTTACTATTTTTTTTTTTTTTTTTTTTTTTTTTTTTTGGAAATATTCTTCCTTGGAAAGTTGCCATAAGCTCCTCATGTCGTTTCCTCAGTTCTTACGTTTTCATAATTCTGTAGTCATAGACCTATGTTAGTGTTTGTGGTAGAATAAACAGCGGATGTGATATCGACTTCATATTGATGAGTGTGTCTAAAATACAGCGCAAAAAATGCATAATT